TTCTCCAAGTTTTCCTTTGCTTTCTGATGCAGTTTCTTGACAATCTCAGCTTTCTTTTCTCCATCTAGACTCACGGCTTCAGCTGGTGGTTGTGGGGTGAGTTCTAATGGCGTAGTAGGATTAAAACCATAGACAATCTCAAAAGGTGATATCTTTATTGCCGAGTGTTGAGCTCTGTTGTAAGCAAACTCTATGAAGGGAATACACTCTAGCCAGTTCTTCAAGTTTTTCCCAATGATCACTTGAAGCAATGCAGATAATGTTCGGTTCACCACCTCTGTTTCTATGTCTGTTTGGGGGTGATAAGTTGTGGAAAACAAAAGCTTGGTTCCAAACTTTTTCCATAAGCTTCTCCAAAAATTGTTCGAAAATTTGCTATCTCGGTCAGATACAATTGTCCTTGATACTCCATGTAAGCGCACAACTTCTTTGAAGAATATATCACTTTTTGATGAATCATTCTAGCACAAAATATAAAGTATGTCATTTTGGAGAATCTGTCCACCACCACAAAATTAAAGGGAAGGTCTGAACAACTAGAATACCTATTAATAATAGTTTTTTCGCACTTAGCTTGATTATGCATTAAATCGACCGAATCAGCAACTGAGTCACAAGTTAACCAGGTCAACGGGCCGGTTTGGTTCTAATCTGGAAACATTGCGAAATTCAATACAAAAAAATAAAAATGACAATACGTTATATAAAAATAAAAAATCGAGTAATTCAAACTTCAAAGATGATCAAACGGGACCTACTCCGTGTGACCAAGTAAAAATGTCAACTCAAACTAAAACAAAGCGAATCTCTCAATATGATACTTATAATAATTTTAGAGACGAATAAGTCGCCGTCTTCAGACAACGCGGTTAAGATCTTCTTCACCTTGTTCTCATTATTTTTTCTTCTTTTTATTATTATTGATATCTATACAAATACAATTGATGTGTTCTAGAAGCTTGACGCTGTGTAAACATTTATTATCTATAATATATTGCATTTCTACCGAACTCTTTATGTCATCTTTTTTTTTCATCTTTGTTTTAATTGGGTGTTTGTTTCGGTGAGTTTGACAAAACCATTACTTGACTAAGTTGCATGGAGAAGAAGGGCAAGAGAGAGTGTCATTCTTCTAGAATCGTTTTAAATAATTGTAATATCGTTATCATATTATTCGTAGATAGGTATGTCATCACATATTTTAATTGTCAACTTTATTGTTATAAGTGTGATATAAATTTTTCTTTCAAATATTATCGAACGTGCTCATAAGTTCTTAGTACTGATCCATCTTTCTAGAACTTATTTCCTTTTTTATTGCAACATCCTACTATATATGGATAGTTTTTCTTTTTGGTAAAACTAGATTCTCATCCATGCATCTGTGTGGGATATTTTTTTTTATAAATATAATATATTAAAATAACTTTTTTTTAATGAAATTCTATTATGTGAACATAATTTTTTTCTAACCCGCTATAAACAAGGAATTAATATAAAAAGTAATGGAGTTAATTATGTAGATGTAATATTTTTCTAATCCTTTGTAGAATTAGAATAAATTTTAATTTTGTTTTCTGATATTTAGTTCTATTTTTTAGACAAAATATATTTGTGCATGTAAAAGTTTGAGATAAGTTAACAAATTTATTTTTGATTTAAAATATATTATATAGTCTGCAAAACTTTTAGTCCACAATGAAGCAAGAAAAAAAGTTTATATTTTTTTTGGCTTTTATGTATTCTATGTTGTATGGAAAAAAAATATATTTTTGGCATTACATGTATGATTCGAAATTATTAATTCAACTATCCAAAGTTTCTGACCTGTTATATTATCTATATTTCTAATTCTATATTTTATTTAAAAAAATTACACATAAATTATCCATTAAATAATCTAACTTAATATCTATATTTTGTGATTTTTGGTAATTAATCTATACGAATATTCAAGGAAAAAAATTCATTTTTTTCATTTTATCTTTATTTTCGGAATTAATTTTAAATTTAAAATAAAGTACATTTAAAAAAATAAATTTGCAACAAATTGAATAATATTAAATATGTATCCAAACAAAAATTTTTAAAATATTTTGGAAGTGTTTGAAAGCAAGTACTAAAAGTGCTTCTGTTTTAGTAAAATAGAGGTTTTTGTTTAGTATAGAAAAAGATACATACTGTAGATAGTGAAAACCCAGTCACAGAAAAATAAAAAATAAAGTATAATGAAAAAAAGGAAGAACGAAAATGAAAAATGCTGAACAATAATGAAAAAAATGTTTGTGACTGTTTTTGGAACGATTTTTAAGACACTATAGTTATTTTGATTAGCTAAGTTTTTTTATATAAAAACTTTAAAATAAAATCAAAACTCTTACAATTTAAGTCTTCTTCCTAATCACTCTTTTGAGTTTGTAACAACCTAGATATTTTTCAAAGTCTCTATCTGGAATCCAAAGAGAATCTACAGCTTTTTTGAAGAAACATTATCTACATCTTTTAACCATCAAATTTATACATTTGTAGAGATAAATATTTATCATGTTAACAAATAAATATAGGCATATATGTTCTTTGAATTTGGTTGCTCTAAGAAGATTTGGAGTGTGTTTGCAGACAGAATTTCCACCAACTATGCTCTCGGCCATTTTGGAAATTTTCAAGTTCTTAAATATCTAATCCGCGCTAGGTAACTCCCTTAAAACTCCTCAATGTTTAAAATTCTTTCTCCAAACCATTGCTTATGTGCTATGGAGAGATAGAAATTCAAGATTCTTCACCACCAAAATCTCTCCACTTACTACAATCAAAGTACTTGTGAACCGTAATGTTATCGTCTCTCATTATTTCTGCCTCGGGATAGTACCTCACCTTCTCCTTAAATTTTAATTTGGTTGTTTATCTCATCTGTTATGAAACATTTATATCTTGTTTGATTTCTATTATGAGTAGTTGCAAGGTAATCAATTGTAAGTATAATAGTAGTAGCTTGTAACCTCTTTCACTATTGATATAAATTTGAACATTAAAACCAAAATATACATATAGATACATTTTCTCTTTATATCTACTTCAAAGATGCTAAATTGTTAAACCACTATAACATCATATATATATATGCGATTTAGGTATCCAACTTTGAGAGTAGTGAATCAAATATGGGGTATGAGATGCTTATAAGTCATTCGTACTTCAAAAAGCCAGAGGGAACACTAAACCAATACAAAAAAATAGTCTCTTTATAATTCGAAATTCTTGCGTTTACAATTATAGATAGGATTTATAAAAAGAATATATAAACAAAACATACAGGAATGTTAACAGGCAGAAAAATGGAAATGGAGTCTCAAAATATTAATTAATAACTATCATTAAACTTCTGAAATTAGTATAAGTTGAAACTATATGTAATTATAATAACAGTTTGATTAGGAGAGAATAAATTTTTAATCACTCTCTTTCTTTAACCGAAATTTGTTTTGTACATTTGACAATGAATTCTTCAATTTGAGACGATCAAATATTAACAAAAGTATTTTAAAACTTTACTGAAACGATATGGTGGTTATTACGAAAACTAGTAGTCAATTTTGACCGAGACAGACCACCCTATCTAGCTTGCATATAGGTAATACTAGAAATGACAAGACAGAAATAAGCACCAATAAAAGTAGCTTTAATTTTGTTTTTGTTTTTGAAGTTACACTCAAAATATCTAAAATATTATTTTATCTGAATTATCATTTTTCTGGCATTTTTTGGCGTCATGCGATGTGAATCACATGTTTTAAAGTTTTTATGGTCCAATGGTAGAAAAGATGATAACACGTATTTGTAATTTCGTCAGAGAAAAGAGCAAAACCTATCATCATCTAGAATTTGCAGCACCCACCACTTAATTGTTGATCTTCTTAGAAAGACAAAAATTCAGAACGACTAATAAAATAACGCGTGTGCACACACGCGTTTAGCGCGTTCATGTGTAATTAGCATTTTAAAATGTCAAAGCGCGGTTAGAAAATATAAAGTAACCCCCAAAAATTGAAAACCGAAAAAGAGTAGTGGTAATAGTTCTTGACCAAAAAAATAAAAATATACTGTATAAGAAAAAGAGTAGTAGTTGGTAAATAATGGTGGAAAAAGAGAAACAATTATAGTATCGTATTCGAAGTAATATGAGACTATGAGTATGTTTGAGTTAAAACAAAATGTAAATTTGAATTGAAATTAGGGCTTGATATAACCTTTTTCTATGAGGGTTTAAGCTACTAGATAGCCAAATTTATGATAATGTATGTTTTTTTTTGTGAGACGAAACATGTGGTAACTAGTGACAAAAACGTTAATGACATATAGTTTTTGTTAGAGAATATTAATAAATAGAGTGATGTTATCTAAAATATCTCATTATCGAAAAAACATTATATTTATTACTACATTGGAAAATTGTTTAAACAAAAATAGAACAAGAAATAAAAATTATACTTATCTACATTTTTTTTTTGTAAAACTTATCTATAGTTTTGCAGATAAAAAAATCTTTGTTGTTTAAACAAAAATATAGACAAGAAAGAAGAATTAAACTATCTCCTTTTAAATAAGAAACGAATCAAGTCGTAAATGTATAGGAAGGAACGAATCAAGTCATAGAATTAACACAATAAAACTAAGGTGCGTGTAATTAAAATTTTGCAATGTGTGCGGTTAAAAATTAACATAAACTAATTTATTTTATAATCTAATGTTTGAAAAAAAAAACTAAGTGTGTGTGTAACCAATAAACATTTACAATGTCAAACCGCGGTTAGAAAACATCAAAATATAAAGCTACACATAAAAATTGAAAATTGAAAAAGAGTAATAGTTGTTGGTAAATTTGAATTGAAATTTGATAAATAACAATAATATTCTTAAAGTCTTGTTCCTCTCTCTACCTCTCTCCTCGTGACCTTTAAAAAGCCTTTCTAATATTTTCCAAACCAAAAACCAGAGAGACAACACGAAATCAGAAAGAAAGAAGAAAAACAAGAAAACACAAATCAAACAATGGCGGTGAAGAAGAAACTCTCATGGCGATCATTAGTCGCCGGCTGTTTAGGAGATCCAGAAACCATAATGGCACCTTCAGAAAAACCCAAGAGAAAAGATGACGTCATCAAGAAACAGAGCTCGTTTCAAAGACTGTCGATTCTTGATTTGAGCAACCCGAGTTCGAATACTTTGTCAGAAGATCTATCGATTTCTCTCGCCGGATCGGATCTTCACAAATTCACCCTCGCCGAGCTTAAAGTCATTACACAGAGCTTTTCCTCGACCAACTTCCTCGGTGAAGGAGGGTTTGGTCCTGTTCATAAAGGATTCGTCGATGATAAGCTTCGTCCTGGTCTTAAAGCTCAACCTGTCGCTGTAAAATTGCTCGATCTTGAAGGTCTTCAAGGTCACCGTGAATGGCTGGTTCGTAATATCATTCAATTTCAGTTTCCTTCATCTTCTTGATTCGTTCTGTCTCTTAATATTTTTTTTTCTTTTTTTTTTTCAGACAGAAGTCATGTTTCTTGGACAACTAAAGCACAAAAATCTTGTGAAATTGATCGGATATTGCTGCGAGGAAGAACATAGGACTCTTGTTTATGAGTTTATGCCTCGTGGAAGCTTAGAGAATCAGCTTTTTAGAAGTAAGCCTCTCTCTCCCTCTCTTTGGCTATATTTTTTTTTTGTATTTTTCTATAAATGATCAAATTCAGACAAGAAGTTTCTAAATTGGGATGATTTTAAATTTGATTTTCAGGATATTCGGCGTCGCTTCCATGGTCGACGAGGATGAAAATCGCTCACGGAGCGGCAACAGGTCTCCAATTTCTCCACGAAGCAGAAAATCCCGTCATCTATCGGGATTTCAAAGCTTCCAATATCTTGTTAGATTCTGTAAGTAATTTTTCAACTCAAAACCAATTTACAATAAGTGAATTATACATATGTATATTACTTTAGATCATTTTTGGCTTTTGTTGTATAATAATACTCCATGTCAATTCTTGAGTTCTAACAAAGTTTAAATCTCAAATCTTGTTTTCAGGATTACACAGCTAAGCTCTCTGACTTTGGGTTAGCCAAAGACGGACCAGAAGGAGACGACACGCACGTTTCAACGCGCGTGATGGGCACGCAAGGCTATGCAGCTCCTGAATACATAATGACTGGCCATCTAACGGCGAGGAGCGACGTGTACAGTTTTGGAGTTGTGCTGCTTGAGCTTTTGACCGGACGGAGATCGGTTGACAAGAAAAGATCTTCGAGGGAACAGAACCTTGTGGATTGGGCTCGTCCAATGCTCAACGATGCTCGTAAACTTTGTCGAATCATGGACCCGAGGCTTGAAGGTCAGTACTCAGAGATAGCAGCAAAGAAAGCAGCATCTTTGGCTTACCTATGCTTAAGCCATCGACCCAAGAACCGGCCTTGTATGAGTGCTGTCGTCTCTATTCTTAACGATCTTAAGGACTATAATGACATTCCCATGGGGACATTCACTTACACGGTTCCAAACACTCCCGAGAAGTCAGACAATAGAGATGAGGAAGGCCGTCGTAAGGAAGTTAATAAGCCTCGTAAGAGTCATCATCATCGAGAAAGTAATCATCTCCGGTTGTCTCCGACTGCGGCGAAGTCTCCAACGGCTAAGTCGCCGACGGCTAAGTCGCCAGGCGGAGGAAACCACCGGAGAACTTTGAGAAATGGATTGAATTCGCCTTTGAGAAGTGAGGTAGGTGGGGAACGGTACTAAGTTTCCTGGTCTTACCTACTCTTGAATCATTATTTTTTAAAATCCATTGTAAATAGTTAATAGTTTTAGTCTTTGGTTTGTAAAAATATATATTTATTTTTGTGAAGAAAATGTTAGATGGTCTTTTCGTTGAGGCTAAAATATTGATATGTCTTTTTTTTTGGGTTGGTGTTTTGTTGTTGATCAAATCAAAGTAAGCAGAGTGGTCCAATCTGATAATATTATTTTGTTAATGAACATTTCGTCTAAAAGAATGACGAGTTGTTCATCGTTCGCTTGTCTTTCACAAACTTTTATTGTGCTTCTCCTTAAAAGGAAGATCTGATTTTAAATAAAACTCTGATGGTTAACACAAAAAAAGAAAAAAAATCTGATCCAACTGATGACATAAATCAATAAGAATTTTTTCTTAACTATAAGAATAGTCGTTAAAGATTGCGGAATAGTTAAAAGAAATAAGAAAGAGTAGTAGTAATATCATCCCGCTTTAGTTTACCGTTTGGCCTATCGATAATCAATAATACCGTTTTTCCAGATGTTGATTGCACAGAACACAAGCTGTCGGAATGTTGGCATTCCAAAGTTGCATTCGATCTCCTGTACTGAGTCTGTTATGCAGAGCGAGCCATGTAATGAATCCATATTTGGGGTTGTGATGCGCAAACCAAACTCCGTTTGCCCAGGGTACTTTTGGTGAAGTGACTCTCAGCAAATCCCGAGTTGTTCGAGTCTGAAAAACCTTTTTGTAGTCCTCTCCCTTGGCTCTCCAGAAGTATGTATCATCTACAGTTGGTTGGTGTCGAGCTTTTGCATTCTCAATCTCATCTTCCACCCTGTTTAGTAACTGAGTTCTGTGTCTTCGTCTACGATGAGAAAGAATGACATCTCTAAGAGTAGAGGCTTCACTAATACCCATGTCGATAAATCCTCGCGAACCAATTAACTGAAGCAGATTCCCCAACGTCGACCAGCGATCATGCCAAAACAGAGCAGTTTCACCATTTTCAATCTCAATCTTCAGAAAAGAAGCCGCCTGATCTCTGACTTTCAGAATCTGTTTCCAGGCCCATGAACTCGCATTGTAACTCGTGTCGATCCACAGAGAATCCACGCTTTACCTGCAGAACCTTAGAACCAGAATTAGCAAACGAAGTCTAAGACGAAAAACGTGTTTTGGATAGGTTGTGCGATTTCTATATATGTATTTTAAAAAGGGATTTGAAAAGGTTTTGAAAAGAGTTTTAAAAAGGGTTTTAAAAAGGGTTTTAAAAAGGGTTTTGAAAACTAGAAGTGAATAAATCGATAATAAATCTAAAAGATGAACAAAGCTCTTAATATTGATCCTAGTAAATTCTTAGAACTCGAGTCACAGACATATGACTACGCCACTGTCGTGATCATAACCAACTATCTCTCGCAACCCTGACCAGTAGGTTTCCACTCTGGCCCTGGAAGGGAAAAAATGCAATATGCTTAAGACTCGTCAACATTCACAGCTCGCCTATAGGTAGGTTTCCATTCCTATGGTTGATCTGCTCTTCTCAAACTAGATCTAGCCCCGGATAAATACTTTCGCAAGACCAAGGACCTAGATCAGTCTCTAGTTCGCGACGCTAGATCCATGCTTTAAGTATAAGTTTAGAAGAAAGATTTCTAGAATTCGGCTTTGGTTTATCTCGCGAAGATCCTTATCGAACATAGTCGATTCCCTTCGATCGAGCCTTTAAAATCATACCTCATCATTCCAAACGTGCATAAAGTAAATAGAAAAGACGTGCATAGATTAATAAGAAGAAAGAAGTAGAGAAAAACAGACAAGGAGAAGAAGAAGAAGCATCTCGATTTTAAGAGCTGGGCTCGGAGAAGAACTTCTCTTCAAATCCTTTAAACAACTAATCTAATATGAAGAAGATAAAAACGAAATTGAAAGATGCATAAGAGTAAAAACCGAATTAAAATAAATGTAGAACATAAAGAGGGTTCAAGAGAAATCTCTATCTCCCTAAACTAAGAACTAAGAACATAAAAGCATAAAAACCCTAGAAAACTAAATTTGGTGGCTCCCAAAAGGGATTCTTCTGAGGCACACGAAAATAGGTCTTTAAAGATACATATTTATAGGTCTTCAACTCTCCCCAGTCGTCCTTAGGGTTTTCTATGAAGAGAAGACGAATTGAGCTTGAAACAGGGTCATGGGCCAGCTTTTTAGTCGGCACTGGTCGCGAGGCTTCCGACCGCGGTGAATTGGGGTTTGGCCGCGGCCAGAGACTCGTAACCGCGGTCGAGAGTGTGTTCTCCGCGGTCGTGGCTCCTGGACCCGCGGGGATTGGTCTTTGAGGTTGAATCTTCATTCTGTGCTTGCTTCCTTCGCAAGACTGCAGAACATGTCTTCAGGGCATCAAGGATATCCAGAGACTAACCATTGGATTGCCTCCAAACCAATTGAACTTGAAAGCTAGTTGTCTCTTTTATATTATGTCCAATTTTGGGGATGATCGGACGGTGAGAAAGTCTTTATCGGATGTGAAACTTCTGACAGCCCGAATTTATCCAAAATGATATTTTGCTCCAAAATGCACACATTTTGCCTTAATTACCTGAAAAGAGTTTTGGAACTACAAATATTAGAAAACCATACTTAAAACACTTAAAAGAAATAAAAAACATTTAAAAAGCATTTAAAAACGATCCACAAAAGTGGTCAAAATACGGTGTTATCACTTTCGCAGATTTAAATTCAGTCCAGACCATAAAAACGCCGATCATATGCTACCAATTTTCTTGATACATTCTTTCAGAAGCCAATAAACTGACATCCAAAAGTTTGTCAAACTGCGGCCACACCATCTTCCCACCCGTGGCCAGCCTAACCTTCACCTGATGACGCGTCTGAAAGATTGCCCGGGACGGAAGTCGTACACTTCGATACAGACTTTGCCGTCTTCATAAAGTTTGTAGAGGAGAATGTAACCTTTCCAAAACATTTGAAATCATTGGAGCCGTGAGCTGAAAGTTATGACCGTTTTAAGATGAACTTGTCTCGCAGCTAGACCAAGCAGATGCGCATCAAAGAATCAGTGAGACGGGAGCCTTGCTCACCCCGGACGCAGTCGGACCCTTCATAAAGGTTGAAGCTGCGTGAGTCACCAGTCTCATGATATATACATGTTACTGACTATTCAAACTAGTACGAAAAATATTAAGAAAAAATGTATTGCAAGTTTTGTGTCTTCTAACAACTTAGTATACCAATCTCATAAATTATATGTAAATCACGTCTAAAATATTTGGACACTTCTATGGTGGATATTAAGAATTCAACAAGCTTTGCAGTATCGTTATATTAGTTTGTTGATCATGGCAAGGACTAATCATCTACCGTGGACGTGAAAAACCTCGAGCTTAGTGACATGGGTATTGCAGTTGTTGACGAAAAAAATATAATTACAATTAATTTAAGTCGATAATGAAGGAAGAAGATGAATCTTTCATTGTTTATATACATCTCCAGTAAACAGCTAAACCAATATAAACTAGAAAATTAACATTTCTGATATATTAAACCGAACCTAAACATATATATCAAGAGTCGATGATATCCATACATTCTGGTTTAGCATGTTTGATTTTATTAGAGTATATAGATCCCGGTTATCCTCTGGTTTGTATTGGTTCAAATGTTTGTTAGGAACAGGTTAACTTAATCGAATGTATAGCGTGTATATAAATAGGAACACTTGTAAATCATTTTTCCTTAATGAAAATATCTACATAATTCAATCTTTTCTCTCTTCTGCTCTAACTCGTAACAGATTTGTTGGTTTTGCTCGAATGAGGACGTGTATCGTATACAGTATACATTACTAATTTACTAGTTTTAATGATTAAAGTTAATTTGATTATAACTTCTTATACTATATATAGTCACTTAGTTTGAATCAAATGGATACAGCTTGCGCATGTAGTTCTCTTATTCTAAATTAGGCGTGCATGAGTAATTGTGTATTTCTAAATGGGCAGACAAATACCTGAGACCAAATCGGTCTTCATTGTTTGTAAGAGTCAAATGACAGATAAGCTAACGATTTTCAATAATAATGACTCTTAACTTTCTGCCAGTCACCTACTAATCTCCCACTATGCCCAATTGCTAATTTTAAAATTAAGATCATTATGTGCGAAATCTTAGAAATACAGCTCGTGTAAGAAAATTGATGTGTGTGTGTGTGCATAACCATTATTTTTAAATGTACAAATGAAGAATACTAATTAATTCAAGTTCTTCTTTGAGAGATATCGCCATTGTATGGATGTCACAGGTATGCATAATATGCATTGTAGTGGTCCTCTATACACATGGTGTAATCACATGCGACTAATTCTATAGCTTAGAAGCTAGATTGGATCCTTAGGCACGATCATTGTATTAGTGATACACATTTAAGAAGATGAAGATCTGACTTTCGTGAATCACTCTCTGTGATCACTCTCACTTATTGTACGATATCTCTGTTTCCTTAATTGTGTATTCTCGTCTTGTATATATCGTGTACTCTTTGTCAATAATAATATACATACATTAAAACCTCATATGGTATCAGAGTTCTCGCTCTAAAGACCTCAATTTTTTTTTTCTTTTTTTTCCTTTCTTTCCCTGCAATACCTAGCCGCCAAACATGGCTCAAAATCACACCAACCCAGAATCCATTGCTCTCTAACTCTGAATCTGTTCTTACCATCAATATATCTCATGTTACAAAGCTTACAAGCACGAATTACATCATGTGGAGTCTTCAAGTCCGTTCCTTCCTTGATGGCCACGGACTTGTTGACTACATCGATGATTCCATTCAAACACCTGCGGCCACCGTCACGACTGGAACAACCGTTACCCCAAATTCTGCATACACCAAATGGCACCGACAGGACAAACTCATCTACAGCGCTCTCATCGGAACCATCTCCATGCCGCTGAAACCTATTATTTCTCGAACAACCACATCATCGCAAATCTGGGAGAAATTTGCCTCCACCTATGCGAAACCCACACGCGGACACATCAACCAATTGAGGATGCAAGTTAAAACTTCCAACAAGGGAAAAAAATCCATCGATGAATATCTTCAAGGCATCACGACACACCTAGACCAACTTGCTCTCC